TTTTTTGCCCATAGGAACGCATTAATTAGATTTCAATGCATTCCTATGGGAAAACGCATTTCGCAAGATGAATTTTTTGCAAGACACCATTAACCGCGGAATGAATTACAGTAAATTGATCTTATGAGGCACCACTGTATTTTCCCTTCTATATGAAGCAGAGAAAAAAAGCAGTGAGTGAGGCTAAGTGGGCTCTTCCTATTCTTTTCAGTTAAAATACAGATATTTCATGTCCAAATTTCCTGAGCTTCTATAGAAAACAATTCTCAGAATAGATCCCCTAAGGGGATCAGTGGCCCCAGCCTGGCATCTGCCTCGACGTTTGTTTAGTATACAGGAGCGTTAAATGGACAAAGCTTTAAAGCCACCCTCCTTTAAAGCCCCAAGGCATTTTGTTTTGTCTTAGATACTCTGTGAAACATGGACTGCCATCTAGCCGTAGTTGAACAAATTCTTTATGTTCAATTACTTTAAGAACACATTTTTGTATGGTTCTGAGGTTATATTTTTCCCTCCCTACTTTTCTATTGTTTCCTTTAGTTTTGTGATGAAACAGAAACAGCTTCCAAATGTCTTCATATGAGTGCTAATCTTTTACAGCAGTGGTCCCCAACCTTTTCTGAGTCACAGACTGGTTGGGGGGCTCCGGTAGCAGGGGGCACCCCACATGCTCGTGGGCGGGCAGGCATGTGATCATGCACAATGGGCGGCACGGTGCTCGTGCAGGTGTGTGCAAAGTCATGCGCATGCATGAAGGGTGCCATGCCAAGCAAGGGTGCTCATGCGCATGCACAAAGGGGTGGGGCATGCTCGGGGTGGGTAAGGCACCCATGCGTGCAGGTGGCAGGCCGTGCATGCGGGTGAGGTGCCTGGGGGGAGTGTGTGCGGGGGGAGATCTGTCCCCGCGGCCCAGTCCTGCCATGGCCATGGACCGGCACCAGGCCACAGACCAGGGGTTGGGGACCCCTGTTTTACAGAACTCCTCTGCATATATATATCTCCTGAAAGATGCTGAGAACTATCTGACAAGGGCACTGGAATTAGAAGGCTGACTGTATTAGAAATGCACTGTATGTGAACAAGAAAGGACCTGGTTCAGAACAACACTGCAGGACAGTGTTAGATTAAGGAACTTTCAAGAACTGCTCAAATAAGACTTTAGTGCATGAACAGAAATTTGAGGAAAAACAAGAACAACTAGAAATAAAACCTCCTGTCATCCTTGAAAGGTAGTAGTATGGAGCTGAGCAGTCACATGTGGATGCACTAATAATGACAAAAGAGGATACTTATATGCTTGACCTGTCAATAGAAATCAACAGTCTAAGCTTCTGAAAACACACAAGGCTGGAAAAAGTAATGTTTGTGTGCCACAGCATTCAATATTAAAAGCTCAGGGTAGAGTTTTAGGTATACAAGAGAAACTTGTATGAACAAACAGTGAAGACTATTCAATAGGACCAAAGATTAAGTATTTTATTGTTGGTAGGGGTCACAAAACAATTAGCTCTTTTCAAGAATAGATAGAAAAGGGTGGAGATTCAGATTTAAGAGCTGAGCTCCAAAAGCAACACCAGAGTTCAGCGGTGAGGGGTTAAGGGCATGGCTGTGGATCCACCCACATATTCCTCGTGGAAGCCTAATTTGTTATAGTGCTGGGAAAGATGTAAGGACTCAGTTTGACAAGATGACAGAATGAGAAACTAATTCTTTAATATCTGCAGGAGACTAGGATATTAAAATATTCTCTCTCTCTCTCTCTCTCTCTTTCTCCCCCCCATACACCAATACATTCTGCTCTTTGTGTAAATGGCAGCTAGAAAAGTATTACATAAAGATTACTCAAACTGTTGCAGCAGTCACAGAAAGATTTCAGAAGGACACAGTTTCTTGCTATGACGACTGAATTTACTGTAACAGAGTTCTGGTGATCTTTGGTATTCTTTTTCCCATTTTGTAATGGCAAGCTTGTTGCCCTTCATTTTGGAAAGCAAATAAAGAATAATCAATGTATTCTCGACGGCTTTCATGACCAGGATCTGATGGTTGTTGTAGGTTTTTTGGACTGTTTGGCCGTATTCTTGAAGTTTTTCTTCCTAACATTTCACCAGTCTGTGGCCAGCATCTTTCACGCGCC